CACCAGGGGCTCACGGCTCTGTCCCCGCAGCTCCACCAGCAGCAGCAGCAGGAGCAGCAGCAGGGCGCCGGGCCGCACGCTGCCACGTGGGTCGCCCCCGAGGTCCCCAAGGGCCCCGCGGTGCCGGCCGGTGAGTGGCCGGGCAGGGGGCCGCGGGGCCGAGCGGCGCGGCGCTGACCCCTGTGCCCGTCCCCAGGCTCGGCCGCCAGGGCCTCGCAGGCCCCGCAGCGGGAGCTGCCGCTGGGCGGCTGGGCCGAGCAGCACGAGGACGAGGATGAGGATGAGGACGGAGCGGAGCAGGAGCCGCAGCAGGAGCGGCCGCAGTAGCTGCCCCGCGCTCGGTGAGCGCCCCGGCTGCGGCCGGGACGGTGCTGGACCCTGGGCACCGGGACCCCTCGCCCTGCGCCCCGCGGGACCCGGCGCGTGGGGCGCGTGGGGCAGCGGCCGCGGGCGGTGCAGCCGGGACCGGGACCGGCCACCAGGTGCTATGTTGGTGCAGGACGCGGTGCTGTGGGCGCGGGTGCCGGCCCCACCGCCCCGCGCGGCAATAAACGTTTACAGAGTGCTCGAGCGGCCACTGTGACCCCTCCGGGTGCACGGGGGGACAGGGACAGGGTCCCGAGCGCGGTGCCGAGTGGTACCGAGGGAGATGCCGAGCTCAGTGCTGAGGGCGGTACCGAGGGCAGTACCAAAGCCGCTGCCATCAGGACCCGGGTCGTGGTGCCGGTGCCGGCTCCGTGCCACGCGCTCCTGGGGACGGTCCCCCCGSCCCCCCCGCATGGGGACAGCGGTGCCCCCGTCCCGTCCAGGCGCAGAGCAGGGGGCGGGTTATCAAAACTAGAGCTTTAGTTGGGCCGGGCCGCGCTAGGGCGCCGGGCCGGGCTGGCGGCGCTCCAGCTGCGAGAAGGACTGGCTGCGGATGCGGAAGGCCACCTCCTGCGTGCGGAACGTCAGCCCGAACAGGTCCTCGTGGTAGCGGTTCTTGTCCTGCGCAGCATGGCACAGCGCGGTGAGGACGGGGCGCTGCACCGTGCAGTGCAGTGCTGCGTGGTGCAGCGCAATGCAGCACGGTGCTGCGTGGTGCAGCGCAATGCAGCATGGTGCAGCACGGTGCAGCGCAATGCAGCACGGTGCTGCGTGGTGCAGCGCAATGCAGCACGGTGCAGCGCAATGCAGTGCAGTGCTGCGAGGTGGAATGCAATGTAGCGCTGCACAGTGCATTGTAGTGCTGCATGGTGCAGTGCGATTCAGCACTGCATGGTGCAGTGCACTGCAGCGTGGTGCTGTGAGGTGTAGTGCAATGCAGCACGGTGCAGCAAGGTGCAGCGCAGCACTGCATGGTGCACTGCAATGCAGTGCAATGCAGTGCGGTGCTGCACGGTGCAGCCCAACACTGCATGGAGCTGCGCGGTGCACTGTGGTGCAACGCGGTGCTGCACGGCACTGCGCGGTGCAGTGCAGCGCGGCCCTTACCCGCAGCTCGCTGATGAAGTCGCCGGCCTGGCGCAGCGTCATGCCGCCGCGCTGCACCAGGATGTGCTGCACGGTCTGCAGCACCTCGGTGGCCATGGTGACGTCCCCGCACACGTACATGTGGCCCGCRCAGTCGCAGAGCACGCGCTGCACCTCGGCCGCCAGCTGCGTGCGCAGCACGTCCTGCACGTAGCTCTGCGGCGCCGCGCGTCACGGGCGGCCGCGGCACCGGCCCCAGCCCACGCGCCTCTCCCGCCGCTCCGCATCCCCGTCGGTCCCCATCCCATCCTTGTCCCTATCCCCRTCTATTCCTATCCTTCTCCGTGTCCCCATCTGTCCCTATCCCCATCCCTGCCCTGCCATGACCTCCATCCTTCCCTCACCATCATCTCTCTCCTCATCCCATCCCGTCCCCATCCTATCCTGTCTCATCAGGAACTCTGTCCCATCCCCATCCCAACCTAGACACCATCCCCATCCCGTCCCTGTGCCCATCCCATCTCACCATGACTCTTGTCCCATCTCCATCCCATCCCATCTCACCATGACTCCTGTCCCAACCCCATCCCTATGCCAGCCTAGCCACCATCCCTGTCCCCATCCCGTCTCTGTCCCCATCCTCGTCCCGCCACGAGCCCATCATCCCTGTCCCACCATGTCGCCCATGCA